CGCATCCTTTTGAAGGGGATTGGAGATTATTTTGTTTGCTAAACCACCTTTTATTTCAATAATCATAATAATGATGACCCATCTATTTGACCGAGCACCTCATCACGTCTTCGAGTTGTCTTAACCCGCTACACAAAACAGTGTATTAAATGTGTATCTTGTGTGTGAGAGAGAGATAAACATAGACACAGAGACAAAGAGGGAATGTGAGAGAGGGTGAGAAAGAAAGAGTGAGAGAGCGCATGTGAAAGAGACAGAGTGTTTGTGTGAGACAGAATGTGAAAGAGACACACAAACACAAACAGAAACACAAGATAGAGATAGAGACAGAAGGTCATAAACGGTGAGAAAGAGGGGGAAAGAGAGAGCGAGAGAGAGAAAGACTGAGAGAACGAGTGAGAGTGTGTGATAGACAGTGCGTTTGAGAGAGATAGACAGATTGTGAGGCAGTGAAAGAGAGATAGAGAAAGAGATAGACAGAGGCAGGTAATGTGACTGGGAGAGGATAGAGACAGCGTGTGATAGCGAATTAGCATGTGAGAGAGACAAAGAGAGAGAGAGCCGGTGAGAGAGAGTGAGTGTATGTGGTTGTGAGAGAGAGGGTGAGAGCGACTGTCAGAGAGTGAGAATGAGAGAGAGAGAGAGAGAGAGAGAGAATGATAGATAGAGAGAGAGAGAGAGAGAGAGAGAGAGAGAGAATGATAGAGAGAGAGAGAGAGAGAAAATGATAAAGAGTGCGAGAGAAACAGATAGTAAGAGAAAGAGAATGTGTGAGAGAGTGTGAGAGTGTGATAAAAGATGTTGTAAGTGTGAGCGGAGAGAGAACGTTTTAGAGAGTGTGAGGCAGAGAGTGAGAGATAGAGAAAGAGTTTCTGTGTGTGAGAGCGAGAGAGAGAGTCAGAGTGACACAGTGAGAGAGACAATGTGTGAGACAGAAAGTGCGAGAGAGAGTGTGTGAGAGAGCGAGAGAAGGAGAAAAAATGTGAGTGTTTGTGAGATAAATAGAGAGAGAGAGAGATACTTTTACAAAATATGGAATGTGATAGTCCAGTTAAGGAATGTTTTGCCAGAGAGTTCAGGCTGGCCGGAGCACGCTGAGCATAGAGTACGGTTATGTTGTTATGGAGTTAACAGACCGCAGAGGTAGAAATGGTGCGAGCCCACGGGGGGGATTTGAAGGTGAGGAACAGGATCTTAAACTGTATCCTCTGTGTGTTTGGAAGCCAGTGGAGTCGGACGAGGATTGGTTTGATTGGATCACGGAGCCTCGTTCAGAACAGGACATGGACTGCAGAGCTCTGGATTTTCTGTAACCTATGGAGGGAAGCGTGTGGAGGCCGACAAGCAGGGAGTTTACCTAAAGATTAAACGCTGCAGGGCATTTATTAATTGTTCCCAATAGCTGGCAATAATGACACACTGAATGGCGAAATTTAAAATGCCTGCAAATACAGGCAGACAGGAATGTCTTGAAGGTCTGTAGTGCAAGCACTTGACAAGGAGGTGGCGCTGCTGCACTGTAATTCGTTCCTGCTTTTCACAGTACAACATCACCACCCAGTGACTGACCGCGGTATTACCGCTCCAAGAAAATACACTTGACAAATTCTTCCTTTTCAACAACAGCAAATAAACTGCATTTATTTATCCTCCTTCACGTAGGATCACGGATCGGAGATTTCCATAGTGCTGCCTTATAATTGGCGAATCCACTTTCATTGCTTCTAATGCGTTTATATAAATACACAGTCTCCACTGAAACCCATCACCTTAATTAAGTCTAAGCCAATCCTCCGATGCTCTGCGGGGGCATGTGTTGCAATGTTCAAAGTGCAATGCTTCGGATGAGACGGTAAACCAAGTTTCCGCCTGCATGTCCTGACGACGGTAAACAGCCCATCTGGCTATTCCAAGAGCAGGGAGTCTCTCTCTCTCTCTCTCTCCTGGATTGATTATATGTGCAGGAGGAGGAGCTGCAAGGAAGGAAGTGTCTGTGTTTGGAAAAATGTTTTCTCTCTTGGTTCCGGTTGCCATAACATATTTGAACGTCCTGAAGGAGGAGAGTGACAAGCGTCAGAGGAATAAACTGAATGACAATTGGATACGAGATTTGAAACAAAGCAGCTCCGAGGATCCTTTTCCTGCTGTTTCATAGTTTGTTAAATGCATCGAGCAAGTTTAACCAGAAGGACCTCATTGCCTTGAGAGCAGCAATGGAGCAGCTTTGGGGATGTGAAGGGCAATTTTAGCTCAGACACCAGAGAGAGGGTTTGATAACTGGAACAAGTTGCCAAGAAAGCGATAGGTTTGTACGCGGTGTGAAGTTGAGAGAGCGTCAATAAATTCTGTACCCCCATTACCCGAGTCACTGTCAAACTCTATTGACTTCCTGTCACAAAGCGGATCAATTTCAATGTCCTCACCCTTTTGGTTAAATGACTTCGTGTACTGGACGGCGTCTCAGAGCGCTACACAGCAACGGATCCGGGGCCCAAGCCTGGCGGAAGGTGACCAAAGGTGTGGTCGAAAGGATCTTCAGCCCAGACCTGAAAATAGGAAGAGAGGTGGCGAGGCATAGGAAGAGACGTAGTGTGTTCCAGGGTTCTACACCCCTGCATCCTGTTCGCTCCCTACATTACTATCCGATGCCTTCGCTCGACCCGCTCCGGCCTCCTCCTGGTCGCCCAGAGACTACATTGAGATGTGAGATGGCTGAGATTATAGCATTGCGTAAAGCACTTGCTCGAATGCTCCCCTTCGCAAGCAAAGCATGAGGACACGGGTTCCACTCCCAGCAGGTCAAAACCTTCGGCAAGATTCCTTACTCCGCTGTATGCCGAGCACTGAGTAGGAACCCGGTTGTTAGTCGATTGCCGGATCTCTTTCCTTTGATAATAATCCATTAAAAAAAATCCATGATCGCTCAATACACAACTCTTTGTGGGACACACTGCTGAGCGCAATTGGCAGTCGCGTTTCTCCCAAAATCTACGTAGTCAATTCACTTCACAGTATATTCTGTGAAGCGCGTTGAGACGTCTCGAAGACGTAATAAGGCGCTGTATGAAATGGAAGCATTATTAATGTTAGTTGTGTTTTTATCACGATTGGTGAGTTTTAAATGATGGTAATTTCATTGAAAATAATCCTGGCATTTGAAATATTGCTTTAAAGCATATTTCACAGAACATACCGTGAAGTTTAATGAGTTCACGTCTTCTGTGCCAAACATGGCGATAAGCACTAACTTTTCTACAAACTTTGAAACCAATTGTAAGGAACCCAGCGACAGGCTGTATTATAACAAGTCATGGACAGTGAAACAAGGGATTGCATCATGAACAACACAGAGCAGGGTCTCGCAACAAAATTACGCCGATAAAAATGCAGTTAATTTACTCTTCAATCTATTGTGTGAAGAGCTTTCCGACGAATCTAAGAAAGGACGAGGCGCTATATCAAATAGAGGAATTATTCCGCTGATGTTGCAGCAGCTTTTACTGTAAATGTCTCTTCCTTTATCCCTTTATCCAGGTGGGGAAGCGTGTGAGCACTCACACGGACACGCCAGTGGTTACACATGAACATGTCGTTGGCCACATATTTAATTGCGGAGGTGCGCACATGTACACTCCAGTGGCTACACATGTGTGCACGAATGCCGATGATGTTGTGAGGGTGAGCAGTGCGTGTGCAGAGGGGAGACACCAGGGCTGAAGCTTCAGTCTGTCCCAGTCCAAGGACAACCTTCCCTGTTAGTTAGTTAGTTAGTTAATTATTCAGTCAGTTAATTATCTAGTTAGCCATCGGAGCTTTGGCTGCTTAGGAAATGGTGAAGGTGTGGCTGAGGGAATGGGAGGCATCATTGCCTGTAGGAGGCGGCTGGCGGCTGGTGAGAGAGTGAGCGATGGGACAGTTGGGGCTGCTGCTCTGGGACAGGACGGGACTGGGCGGGGGCTGCCAACTCTGGAGCAGAGGGAGGTCACGGTGGGAGGCCACGAGAGAGAGAAGACGGCGTGGGAGGGAGGGAGTGCGGTGGGAGAGAAGGACAGAATGGGAGGAGCGGATGGAGGGCGGGCGGGTTGTGGAGGAGGAGGAGCACTTCCACGCAGAGATGGGGAGCGAGGGATCAATGGGACAGTGTCAGCCCTTGGGCTAAAGGAGCCATCGCGGAGGGTGGGGTGGGGTAGGGGGAGAAAGGGGATGGCGGTCTGAGGTACCAGAGAGCGGGAGTGGAGGGAGGAGAAGGCAGCGGAACGATAATGGCGGAGACTTGCCCCATACTGGCGGGTTTGAAACTGGCGCCCGGAAGTCACGAAACTATCATCACGCGACCTGGGCGGCATTCCAAATTGGCGCCCGGAAGTGACGTCACTATCATCACGCGACCTGGGCGGCATTCCAAATTGGCGCCCGGAAGTCACGACCGACAGCGCGAGACCTGACGCTATTGAGTGACGTTTCAATGTCGGTGGTGGGGCCGGGCCTGAAGCCGCTCGTGGTGACCAGGTGGTGACTTCACCACATCTCATCCGGTCGGTGCCCGTCCGCGTCCTTTTGTCCCCGACACCCTCGGCCCTCCCTCCGCTGCTCGCGGCACCCGCTCGGTTTTCCAGGCTCCTGACGTCAAACGCATGACGTCACTGACCGTATCTCATCGCTGTTACCAAGACGGACATCACGACCTGACTCCCCCCCTGGACCCTATGACAAAGATGGCCGCCAATGCCCTTCAGAAGGGCACAGAGAGACACTCCTTTACCGTCTGTCTCTCACACTCACTCTGTCTGTCTGACATGGAAAGAGAAAGTGTCAGAGAGATAGAGAGACTGACTGAGAGAGAAAGAGAGAGGGAGTATATCGTGAAAGGTTTGAGCCGTGGGATCAGAGCGAAAGGTGTAATATTAACGACAAGCTTTATTGTATAACGCTACAAATTATAAACGGTTCAGCCTGGGGGCCAACACAGCCAAACACATGTCATGGCTGAGGGTTTGCTCCTCATTAATCTGTCACCCACAGATCCTCAGAGGCTCTGAGTTTTTGCCGTCATAATTCAAACTGGGACTGAAGTAAGGATAGAGTATCTCAGTGAAATTCTGGGTGAAAGTATGGAGATGAGACATGTTATCGGCGTTGTAAAATGTCACCTGTCCCCCCTCATAGTCCAGGAACACTCCCAGCTTCCCGGGTCTCCCTCTCAGGGACAGTCGGGTGGGAGGTGATATACAAGCTTCATATTCATCCCCGTTTCTCAGTGTCACAGCCCAGAATCCATCTTCTGGTGACAGTGTGATCAATCCTTTCCTGTTGACAGACTCTCGGGCCAATCCCACATCCCAATCAGTCTTGTTGGCCACCTGCACCTCCCAGTAATGTCTCCCTGATGTGAAGCCCTCAGTCCCCAGGACACAGGTACAGGAATCAAATCTCTTCGGGGAGTAAGGCAGCTGCTGTTCTTCGTCTGCGTCTCTCACGCTGGTCAGGTCCTCAGACAGAATGAGGTTGGGATGGGCTGTATCAGGATCCAGAGTTAGAGAGGCCGGAGCTGAGAGAGAGTGAAAAAACACTCAGTGGAGAGAGGGGACGTCTGGGAGCTCAGACTATATGTGAACATATCTACACCTGGGGACACAATCCAGCTCAAAGTTTCACAGTATGTCTGGGTGGGGGGAGAGGGGGTGAGTGCAAGGTTATATGTGTGGGTGTGTATGAAGGGTATGTATGTGTGTGAGAGTGAAGTATATGAGATGTACGTATGTGTGTGCCCCCCCTCCCCCCCCAGGGCTCACATCAGAGCCCACTATGGTCCTGTTGGGTTCGTTGCCCCAATCTATGGGATAATGCCATCCACCTGACCGCTCGCTCCCGGTCCCCGCGTGCGCACTATCGCTGCCGCTTTGACCCGAGTCCCCTCACCCCCTCCCTCCCGCGCCCCTCCTCTCTCCCCCCAAACCCTCCCCCCTCTGCATCTCTCTCTCTCTCTCCTCCTCTCTCTCCGTCCCTCTCGTCTTCTATCCCCACTTGACCCTCCCACAACCTCCCTCTGCTCCAGCCTGGGAATCCTCCGCCGGGCTCACCGCGGCACTCGGCGTTGGCTGTCCAGCAGCAGCCACACCGACTGCCCCATTCCCCACCACACTCGCCAGCCACCCCGGACACAGACCCGGGGAGTCAACCTCTCCTCCCTCATCCCCATTCCCCCCACCCCTGCCTCACAACCTGGACCCCCCTCCCCTCCCACACACCCTTCTGTCAACCGCTCCCTCCACATCGGACTGCAAAATGTCCGCTCCCTCTGCAACAAGGCCCTGGTCATCAACGATCTCATCCTTGATGAGAACGTTGATATCATGGCCTTAACAGAAACCTGGCTCACCCCAGGCGACACCTTCCCCCTCACGGAGGCCACGCCACCCGGCTACACCTCCCACCACATCCCCCGCCCCAACCGCCGTGGCGGTGGTGTTGCCCTTATCTCAAGGACACCACTTGCCCTATCCCCCTACTCCACTGGCTCTTTCCCCTCCTTTGAGCACCTCACCCTCTCCCACCCCTCATTCCTCTCCCTTAAAATCCTCCTCCTCTACCGGCCCCCTAAAACCTCTCCCACCTTCATCTCTGACATTTCAACACTCCTCACATCTCTTTGCCTCTGCTCCGATCGCCTCATCATCCTGGGCGACTTTAACCTACACTTCACCCCCTCCTGCTCCATCTCCACAGACTTCTCTTCCCTGCTCTCCTCACTCAACCTCTCCTTACACATAAACTCCCCCACTCACAGTCACGGCCACCCACTCGATTTGGTGATCACCCGGGGCCTCAGTGTCTCGGATGTCACTATTACCGACAAGGCCATCTCTGACCACTACTTCATCTCCTTCACCACCTCCACCCCCCTCCCCACCTCCACCAGACCCACCACCATCTTCTACCGCCCTTGGAAGAAGTTACCCCCACAATCCCTAACCGATGCCTTGGAGTCCTCTGAACTCCTCTCCCTCTGGCCTTCAACCCTCACCGACCCCTCTTCTCCTCTCTCCCTCCTCCACAATACCCTCTCCTCCACACTCGATACTCTTGCCCCCATCACTTCCCGCACTGTCTCCTACTCCCGCTCCTCCCCCTGGTACACCACCCACCTCCGCTCACTGAAAAGCCAGGTGCGGGCTGCTGAACGCACCTGTGTCAAATCTGGCCTAACGGTCCACCGACAAATCTGGCTGGACCTCCTCAAAATTTACCGCTCCACTCTAGCCTCGGCCAAGTCGTCCTTCTACTCCAGGATAATCCTGGAGGCGAAGAACAACCCCAGGCTACTGTTTTCCACCACAACCCGACTCCTCCGTCCCCCCCGCCACCCCGCGCAGGTCATCTCCTCCAACCTTCACTGCGAGGAGATGCTGGATTTCCTTGAATCCAAGATCAAGGGAATCCGCTCCGCGGTCACTTCCCCTCCAACTTCCACCCACCACCCACCCCTTCCCTCCCACACTCCGACTCCTACCCATCCTCCCCTACACACCTTCGTACCCGTTTCCCCACCCTCTGTCACTGAACTCATCCTATCCCTAAAACCAACCACCTGCTCCCTTGACCCCATCCCCACTCCACTCCTTATCTCCCAGCTCCACTTTCTTGCCCCACATATCACTGACATCATCAACCTGTCCCTCTCCTCTGGCTCTGTCCCCATTCCATTAAAAACTGCCATCATCACGCCCACCCTGAAAAAACCCTCCCTTGATGCGTCGCAGCTATCAAGCTACCGGCCCATCTCCAACCTCCCCTTTCTCTCCAAGGTCTTGGAAAGAGTTGTCGCCTCCCAACTGCGCTCTTTCCTTTCCACCCATTCTCTTTTCGAACCCCTTCAGTCAGGTTTCCGTGCTGCCCATAGCACAGAAACTGCCCTGGTCAAGGTCACCAATGATATCCTGACCATCTGTGACCAGGGCTCCCTCTGTCTCCTCGTCCTCCTCGACCTATCGGCAGCATTCGATACGGTCGACCACGCTATCCTACTCCACCGCTTGTCCTCCCACCTCAACCTTCAAGGCACTGTCCTTGAATGGTTTAGGTCGTACCTTTCTCACCGTCTTCATTTTATCTCGACGAATGGCTTCTCCTCCACCCCCCGCACTGTCTCATGTGGTGTCCCTCAGGGCTCTGTCCTTGGTCCCCTCCTCTTCAACCTCTATAAGCTCCCCCTTGGTGACATCATCCGCAGACATGGAGTTAACTTCCACATGTATGCGGATGACACCCAACTCTACCTTTCCTCCTCTACTCTCAACTCCACGACCACCGATGTCCTGAAAGCTGCCTGTCCGACATCGAGTCCTGGACGAGAGACAACTTTCTTCAGCTCAACGTGCGAAAAACCGAGGCCCTCCTGATTGGCTCACGTCAGCGCCTCCGCACCTCAGGCGCTGACACCATCAGGATCCAAGGCTGCACTCTCCACCTCTCAAAGCCAGTCAGGAACCTCGGCGTTTTGTTCGACCCTGAGCTGTACTTTCTCCCTCACATCCGCACCACAACTGGCACCGCCTTCCATCACCTCCGGAACATCGCCAGACTACGGCATTACCTCACCCCTCACGCTGCTGAAACCCTGGTCCACGCCTTTGTCACCTCAAGGCTGGACTATGGGAACTCTCTCCTCGCCGGCCTTCCCGCCACCTCCCTCCACACTGCAGGTCATTCAGAACTCTGCAGCTCGTGTACTGTCCCGCACCAGGCTTCGGGACCACATCACTCCCACCCTCGCTCGCCTCCACTGGCTCCCTATCCCCCAGAGGATTGATTTCAAGATCGTCATCGTCACCTACAAAGCCATTCACGGCTTGCTCCCTCCTACCTCTCCGACCTACTATCCCCCTACCTACCTGCCCGTACCCTCCGTTCCTCCGGCTCCGGTCTGCTCCACGTCCACCGCCCCAACCGCCCTACAATCGGTGGTCGGGCCTTCAGCCTCTCAGCCCCCAGGCTCTGGAACTCCATCCCCCAGTGCCTTCGCCTTGCTTCCTCCCTTTCCTCCTTCAAGGCCGGTCTCAAAACCTTTCTCTTTGACCGAGACTTCAGCTCCCCTCTCGACTCTCTTCCCCCTCCTCGCTCCCTCCCTTCCCTCCCCTCACCCTGTCCATTTCCCCCCTCCTCTCTCCCTCCCTTCCCTCCCCTCACCCTGACCATTTCCCCCCTGCTCGGGTCATGACCCAACTGTGCAGCGCATTGAGACGTCCTCCTGACGTGAAATGCGCTTTATAAATGGAAACTTATTGTTGTTGTTGTTGTTGTTGTGTGTGAGTGCGTGTGTGTTCGTGGGTGTGTGAGTGTGTGTGAGGGCGTGTATGTGTTTGTTTGAGCGTATGCTTGTGAGTGTGTGTGTGAGGTGTACTTGACGGTGTCTGATTGAGGGTGTGTGTGAGGGTATTTGTGAGAATGTGTGTGTGGGGTTTATGTGTGAGAAGGTATGAGGGTGTGTGTGAGGATGCTTGTGTGTGACGGATTGTAATATTTGTTGTATGAGGGTAGGTATGAGATTGTGTATGAGGGTTTGTGTGAGTGGTTGTAGTAGTGTGTTTGTGGTATTGTTTGCGTGAGCGCGTGTGAGGGTATTTGTGAGGTTGTGTGTGATGGTTGTGTTTGTGAGTCTGTGTGACGGTGTGTTTGAGGGTATGTGTTTGATGGTGTGTGTGAGGGTACGTTTGAGGGTGTGTGAGGTGTGTGAGTGAGTGGGGGTGTGAGAGGATGTGTGAGAAATTGTGTGTGAGTGTGGTTGTAAGACTTGTTGTATGAGTGTTTGTATGAGGGTATATACGAGGGTGTGTTTGAGGGGGTGGGAGAGATCATGTGTGTGAGGGCTGTTTGTGAACGTGTGTGTGAGCGTGAGTGTGTGTGAAGGTGTGTGAATTTGTACGTTTGAGTCGTGTGTGTGAGGATGTGTATGATGGTGCGTGTGAGGTTGTGAGTGAGGGTGTGTGTGAGTGTGTGTGTGTGTGAGTGTTTGTGAGCTTGTGTGTGGTTGAGGTGTATGTGTGATGGTATGTCAGAATGAGCGGCTCTGTGTGAGGTTGTTTGTGTGTATGTGAGTGTGTAAATGGGGGGGTGATTGTGTGTGAAGTGGTGTGAGAGTGTTGTGTGTGTGGTGTTGTGTGAGAATTTGTGTGAGGGTCTGTCTGTGTGTGTGTGTGTGAGTGGTTGTGTGATGGTGTACGTGAGGGTGTTTGTGTTGGTGTGTATGAGGGGTTGTGTGTAGGTGTGTTTGCAAGGGTTTGTGTGAATGGGTGCGTGAAGCGTGTGTGTGGGTGTGTGTGACGGATTATATATGTCAGGATCTGAGTAAGGTTTTGTGTGAGGGTGTGTGTGAAGACGCGTGTGAAGATGCGTGAGAGGGGTTGTGTGATGGTGCGTCATGGTGTGTGTGACCGGGTCTGTGTGAGGTTGTCTGTGTGAAGGTGTGTGTGAGGGATTCTGTCAGGGTGTGTGTGAGGGTGTGTGTGAGATTCTGTGTGAGTGTGTGAGTGAGTGTGTGTATGAGTGTGTGTGAGCGTGCTCTGTGTGAGGGGTATGTTTGAGGAGTGTATGGGTGATGGTGTGTGTGAAGGGTGTGTTTAAGGGTGTGTGTGTGTTTATATGTGTGTGTGAGAGAGGAGAGTGTATGTGTTGGTATCCATGTGAATGTGAAGCTGTTGGCACGGCTTCAGAGTGAGAATGGGAGATATTTACCTGGGCTGATGCCGTGTATCATCTGTCTCCAGGCTGTGTACTGCATAAGCCCTTTTTGTATCCCCACAGGCAGCTCAGCCTCACACACTGACAGATCGAACCCATCGTCACTGACCCTGAAACAAGTCAAAATCACATCATAAAGTGAAACTGCATCTTGTGGTTAGTTTATGGGTTCAATTGTGGGATATTTGGTAAAGATAATTTCATACCTTGTGTTGCCAGAAGCTTCCTCCTAATGAAATCAAACACAGACAGATGTCAGCCCACATTGAGATGCGACAGGACAAACTCAGTCACGAATCATAGAATTCCACATCACACAGTTTACTTTCATATTCACAGCAACGTTTCTCACTCAAACGATACGGCTTCCGGATACAAAGCAACAAGAAAGTGGGGGGGGGCAGATCTGCTCCAAGAAAACCCCAGTTTCCTTCTTGTGTGTGGTACAAGGGAAATGGTGTGTGGTACTCCGGGTCTCCTCGAAGCTGAACTGGCCCATAGGTGACAAGCCTAGTAATGAAATATGGGAATGGAGCCAGGCCTCTGAGATGATCTGCATTCCTGGATACTGATCCACAGTGTCCCAGGGTACTCACTGCTGATGGCAGCACAGCCCGGCCTGGCTCCTCGGCAGAACCAGGGAGGGCCGACCAGTTACTGGCGTAAGGGAATCCTCCCATTCAGTTCCTGTTAACTCGACCGCGAAAGCCCCAATTGGAAGGTTTCTGGGTTGATCTGGTTAGACTCCAGCAGTCACCCCAACACAAAATCTGGGCTCCCCCTAAATCTTTGGTCTGCACAACCTGGGCCTTAAGCATTAAAGAATGAGGTAAACAGGGTATGAGTCTTCGGATATAGAGGGCACATGCCATCCCAACAGTTTGTCTCTGGGATTTACATGCGTTTTGCTCCAGACTGTGTGTAACTGTTACTGAACTATATTATAATATCATCTTTTTACCTGCAGGAAGGTGAGATCGTCTTTTCCCATCTGTGTCTGTAACTCGGAGAGCTCTTGTTGAACAGAATCTAATTTGCCCTGAATCTCTCGCAGATTTGTCTCCATTCGTTTTAAAATCTCCTCCTCTCGCTGTCTGAGATCTCGCACCACTCGCTGCTCTATGTCAGTAAGACTCCGGTGCATTTTAGCAAACTCTCCCGTGACGTGGGACTGCAGACTTTTCACCTGTTCCTGCAAACGTCAGTCATCCAACCATTACACACTGTAACCAGAGACACCACACTGTGTACACGCAGTAACCAGAGACACTGAGATATCACACCCTGTACGCGCAGTAACCAGAGACACCGAGACATCACACCGTGTACACACAGTAAATTGAGACACTGAGGCATCAGTTGTTAAATCTCACCTTCAGTTGTGAAATCTTTTCTCTCTGTTTGGCTTCAGCTTGTAGAGCAGTTTCCTTCCTCTCTGTGAGAGAATCTAAGAAGGATTTCACTTTATCCTGGAACAAATACACAGAATTAACGTGTTTAAGCATGAAAATATCAGTTGCAATAGATATACTCCCTCTTGAGGTGTATTCCTACCTTGTAGAATTGAACAGCTTCCTCAATGGGTAGGAAGCTGTGACCTCTGTGTTCCTTCCCATGACTGCAAACTACACACAGCAATTTCTTATCAGATTCACAGAACAGCTTCAGTTGCTCCCGGTGTTTCTCACACTGACTTTTAACTGCCGACTGTGTCGGGTCAGGCTCAATTTTCGTGCTTTCTCTGCGAGACTCGCCAAGGCCCAACTGGCTCTCAGGTTCTTTTCTGGAAAAGTCTCCTGACAAACAGTACAGCAGTTTTTGTCCTGCTTTTCCCAACTCCGTGTGACGCAGGAGCGACAGAAGTTGTGGCCACAGCCCAGGCTAACAGGATCAGTGAAGAAATCCAGACAAATCGGGCAAATGATCTCCTCGGTCCAGACCTCAGCCTGGAGTCTAGAAGACATTTTGATCCTCAACACTTCCTGATAGAAACTGTTTTCGGTTTCAGTGTGAGTGTGTAGGCGGATCCCAGTCACTGCGCTGACAGACCCTCTCCTATAGTCTTTCCTTGTAAAATCAATTGATTGTGACTTTGTTCCCAAAAGAAGATGAGAAGCCTTGTACAATGACAAGGACACCCGAGCAAAGAAGGCGTTGTACTATGAGAAGGGGTGATGTGCATCTTGGGTGGGGCGTGGAGGGGTGGGAGGATGAAAATAGCGCCATCAAATGTGTTAATTTGAGGTTGTTTGAAAGATCTCGTATCTCTGAAATGGTTTTCTGGTGCGCGACATGTGCAATGGTTGAAATCTCGCACGGTGAGGCGGATATTGGGTTGGGTGGGGGGTGATGTGAAGCTGCCGGGTTCAGGCTCAATTTTCATTTTTGAGTGAATTGTGTGGCCGAGTCAGTTGGAGGTGGCGGAGGAATGGCCGTGTAAGGCAATAAGGGCTTTTGAAATTGAAGGCACGGTGGACGACAAAGACCTTCAGGCGGCACTTGAAGGATGTGAGGCAGAGGGAATGCGGGAAGACTTCCAGAGTGTGGGGACACAGCCGCTGAATGTCCGAAGTCCAACGGTGGCCGGGAATTACGGGTGACCAGAAGCAGGCCGGTGTCTGCCGAGCGGAGGGAGCAGACAGTCTGATATGCGGTTATGCAGTTGGTGAAGTAGAGTGGAACAAGATCGTGGAGGTGTATTGAAGGAGCAACACGCCTGATCTCTGTGTAACTAAGCTGGACTCCATATAATTGCTCTGAGCTCTGTATTAAAGCCTGGTCTCTATAAAAAAACGCCACGTGTCTGTATAACAGGCTTGATTTCTGCATAAGGGGCCTGACTCTTTATAACAGGTCTGGTCCCTGTATAACATTTCTTGTCTCTGTATAACAACCTGTCATCTGTATAACTGCTATCGGCTCTTTATAGCATGTCTTGTCTCTGGACAAAACCACCGCACAGTGTGTAACTGGCCTGATGTCTGTACAGCAGTCCTGGTCTCTGTTTAAAAGCTCTGCTCTCTGTATAATAGTCATGATCTCCGTGAAACAAGTGTGGTCTCTGCATGACAGGCCTGATCACTTTATAATAGGCATCGTCTATTTGTAACTGTCCTGATCTCAGTGTGAAAGGCTCGTATATGTATATTGGCTTGGTCTTGTTTAATAGGTCAGGTATACGCAGAACAGTCCTGACCTACTTAAAGCTGCCCTGGGCTCCGTATAACTGATCTGAGGTCTACAGAACAGCACTGATCTCTGTATAACAGGCCTGCTCTTTGTAAAGCATCTTCTTTTCTGAATAACAGTCCGTGTCTCTGCATGACAGACCTAGTCTATGTACAACAGGCCTGATATCTGTGTAACAAAACGTGTCACTGTATTACTGCACTTTTCTCTGCTTATAAGTCCAGGTCTATGTGTAACAGCCTGATCTGTGATAACAATCCTTATATCTGGAAAGCTCCCTGGTATTTGTTTGGAAGGCCTTGTCTCTGTGTTAAAAGCTGGATTCCTGGAGAACTTGCATAGATTTTGTATAACAGGCCTCATCTCTGTATAACAGGGCTGGCTTGCTGTATAACAGGCCTGGAATCTGCATAACTGGTCTGGACTCTGCATGGTCTGTATGTAACTAGCCTATGCCCTATATAAAAGCTGGTCTTTGTATAAATGGCCTGGACTCTGCATTATCTCCGTATAAATGGTCTTATATCTGTGTAAAAGCCTTGTCTCGGTATAACAGCCCTGGAAATTGTATGACAGGTTTGTGTCTGTATAGTAGTTCTTTTCTGTGTACAAAATGCAATTTCTCTATATTATAGCCTTGTCTCTGTATTACAGAGGTCAAGTTATAAAGGACGCGTTTCCGTATAACAGCCTCGTCTGAGCACAGCAACATTGTCCCCGTATAACAGGCCCGGTCTCTGTATAACAGACCTGGTCTCTGTTTAACAGGTCTGGTCTCTATATAACTCGCCTGGGATCTTTATAACAAGTCTGATCTGTGTATGAAAGCTCTGGTATCTGTGCAACTGCTCTGCTCTATATACCTCAGGCTTGTCTCTGTATAGGAGGCCACTAATCTGTACAACAGCTTGGACTCTGTGTAACAACCTTTTCTCTATAAAACAGTCTGCTCTATTTATAACTGGCCTGGTCTTCGTTTAACCGTCTGGCTCTGTATATAATGTTCGGTTTCTCCATGACTTGCCTGGTCATGCAATACTGGCGTGATACCTGTGGAAAAGCACTGGTTTCTTCAAAAAATCTTTGGACTCGCTCTAACAATCCTGCTCTCTTTATAACTGTCCGGTCTCTGTGAAACAAGCCTGGTCTGTCTATATATGTATAAATCGATAAGAGTCTGGTCTATGGTCTCTGCGCAACATGCCTGGTCTCCCTATAATAGGCATTATCTGTATATAACGGGCCTGGTCTGTGTTTTACAGGCGGTTCTATATATATCAAACTTGTGTAATCGGCTTTGTCTAACCGTAAAGGGCTTGGTCTCTGTATGTGATGAGTTTGTGTGTATGTCAGACGCCCGGGCGATCACGGTGACGGGATTGTTTGCTTGTGTGTGTGTGTCAGAAACATTTGGTAAGGGGAGTGGTCGGGGGATTGTTGGGGGGTTGGGAGTGAGGGCTAAAGTTGGAAATGTTTCTCGAGCTGGCAGACAGCGCACACAGTGTGCGCACTGCCCTCCCCCCCCCCCCCCCCCCACACACACACAGACACACACACAAGACACGTGCACTCCCCACACACACACAAACACAAACACACTGCCCTTCCTGTACACACTGCCCTCACTACAGACACACTGCCCTCCCTACAAATATGCACACACCCACGGCACTCCATTAACACACACACTGTGCTCCCTGCACACAGACACAGCCCGGGACAGGCAGAACACACAGAGTGGCCACTGCCCTCACTGCTTCATGGTTAGCATCAGTTAGAGGTCAGATGGATTTCAGTCTATAACTAAAGCCCCGGCTTCTTGTTCTGCATCTGACTCACTGTTTGTACGGTATCATAGAAAACCAGGCACTGGGGTAACGAAACACAGTGGAAGTGCAGAGCTGAACGCACAGCGTCTTGTTCCTCTCTGCTGCTGACAGTCACAGCAGGAGATCACAGGGCAAAATCAAACATAAATATGCCATCAACACACAGCAGCAGCTCAAACTGGGGCCGTTTGTTTCACTGACAATCGGACTTTTGAGAAGGTAGACTCGATGAAAATCCTTTTAGTTTGAACTGTGAAACCATGTTGTGTTGAGTTCACTTGACTCGCCAAATTAAGGGCGTTACCCACACAGCCCAGTCCCGCAGTTTATGTCTTTGTTGACGGAGAAACAGCCCCTCATAATGTCTGTCACAGGAACGGATACAAGAAACCCCCAATAACTTTTGGACGTTCACTCCATGGCTGTCTGTGGGAAGTTAATGTGCTGCCATTATTGTGCTGCTACTTTGCTGCCACCTTCACTCACAAAGTACACAGTCACTTCACTTTAACTTATATCCTGTGTCATGACTTGTGACATCCTGAATTGAAAGGCTCTCTGTCAAATGCAAGGTGTATTATCCTGCAGGTTTGGGAAGGGGAAGATGGGACACATGGCAGTTGAATGTGCCGCAAGCTGATGATCTACGCACACACTTCCCCTCCTGCCCCTCCACACAAGTGCTGTGACTGCTCGCACACAGCCTGGGACATGCAGAGGACACACACCAACACAAACAAACCCACACAAAAACACAGCTCGGGACTGACAGAGTGCATACGCAAAGCCCTTGACAGGTAGAGCACAAACAAGAACGCACACACACAGACACACACACACTGCCTACTCCACACGCACACAAAGCACGGGACTGGCAGAGCTCACTGTGTAGCCACTGCCCTCCCTGTTCCATAGTTGGCCTGAATGAGAAGTCAGGGGGTTTTGAGTCTAAAGCCTCGGCTTTTTGTTCTGCTCTGACTCACTGTTTGTACAGAAAGACAGGAAACTAGGGGCTGGTATAATTAACCACAGGGGATGTGCAGAGCTGAACCCACAGCCTCTTGTTCCTCTCTGCTGCTGACAGTCACAGCACGAGAGCAAATGGGAAAAACAACATGAAATAAACCTAAATATACCATCAACACACAGCAACAGCTCAAACTGGGTATTTGTTTCACTCATCATCGGACGATTGAGAATGTAGATTTGTTCTGTTGGGATCACAGTCGCAATTAACTGATTTCAAAAGAAGAGCCTTGAGGAGAGGCGTTGTCAGCCTTGTGACTGGGAGCCGCCAACCCACTCATACTGAAACCCAATCAAGTTTCAATGAGGAACCGCTGAGGAACAAAATGGCTTCTAGACTCAGGCTGAGATCTGGACCGAGGAGATCATTTGCCCGGTTTGTCTGGATTTCTTCACTGATCCTGTTAGCCTGGACTGTGGTCACAACTTCTGTCGCTCCTGTGTGACCCGTAGCTGCGAAAATCAGGAGAAAAACTGCTGCTCTATTTGTCAGGAGAGTTTTCCAGAAAAGAACCTGAGAGCCAGTTGGGCCTTGGCGAGTCTCGCAGATAAAGCTCGAAAATTTACCCTGACCCCGACACAAATGGAAAATAAAATTCACTGTGAGAAACACCGAGAGGAAATGAAGCTGTTTTGTGAATCTGACAAGAAATTGCTGTGTGTAGTTTGCAGTCATGGACAGGAACACAGAGGTCACAGCCTCCTGCCCATTGAGGAAGCTGTTGAAATCTACAAGGTAACAATACCACTCACTCGGGAGAAAATCTGCTCCACATGATATTTTCACGGTCAAACACGTTAATTCTGTGTTTATTCCAGGATCAAGTGAAATCCTCCTTAGCTTCTCTCACACAGAGGAAGCAAACTGCTCTACAAGCTGAAGCCAAACAGAGAGAAAAGATTTCACAACTGCAGGTGAGATTTCACAACTGA